TAGTCATTTGTAAAATACATTTCATATTCAACATAATGTTCACTCAAACGAGATCTTTATTCTTGGCCGCAATTATAGCCATATTTATCTATGAATATTCATCGAGCGAGCCGTTGAGGTTTAATTTTGATCTCAAACACATAGATGACAATCAAAGGGATGAACTTTTTCGCTTTCTGGACATTAATAAAGATAAAAAGATATGCGAAACTGAATTCAAAAACCTATTCAGTTCTCTATTCTACTCGACGAGACATAAGACCAGTTATAAGGACGACAAGATTGAGTCAATGATATTGGAATTGATAGGAATTCCCAAAGAGAAAGGCATCGATAAGACACAGTTTGACATGATTTGGGGCGAATGGATAGTGACTGTACTGAGGCCCAGGTCGGCGCTCATTGTGGTCGACGTCCAGAACGACTTCATGATCGGATCCATGCCCGTGGAAAATGGCACCAAAATCGTGCCCGTTATCAATGACTTGATGAAGAACTTCGAGACAGTGGTCTTCACGTACGACTGGCACCCGAGGAATCACTGTTCGTTCAATGAGAGTGTCCACGACCCCAGTATTCACAGACCAATCATTGACTATTATAACAAAACTCGTGATACACTGACAGTGGGTGATCGGGTCAGGTATGCGGTCCATTCAGACATTATTCAATACCTATGGGATAGACACTGTGTGCAGGAGAGTGAAGGCTCTCAATTGTATCACGAACTTAATCAGGATCATATCAAAGATAAATTCAATGTAACCAAGGGAATGGATCCGGATATCGACAGCTACTCGGCCTTTGCAGATGTCGGGGGTGTTCACGACCCAGAAAGACGCACAACATTGCACTGCGATCTCCAGAGTAGAGGTATTCAGAGTTATAAACCCTTAAGGAATTCAGTAAATCTTATGAATCTGTTTGAATATCTTAGGTATCACTGATGTCTACCTAACGGGAGTGGTGTATGAGTTCTGTGTGGGATCGACAGCTCTGGACGCCTTAACACTGGGCTATAGGACGGCATTCATTGAGGACGCCGTCCACGAGCTCAACACAACCCGACAGAAGGAAATGCGACAGAATTTGACGGACAACTACTCCAGTATTATCACTGCCGATGACGTCAATGATATGGTGACAGCCTATGATAGGAGACCACAAATGGGATACGTGTTGGCTAAGAAAATATGGGGTACACATAAACACCCTGACCCTCAATGTCAATAATACCGGTGCTATTTGATATAAATAGAATTACAAAATGCTCACATAATGTATAAATTATTTCTGTTATCATTGAATTCATAAAAATAAACTTTTATTTAAAGTACAAATAAGATCATAAATAATCCACAGTTTTAAGCCCCAAAATATGCAAACAATTGGTCACCAATTGTAGAATCAGTCGACAAAAATGAACTCTTGTGGCGATCAACGCCTTCAGGTGAGGCGAGGGTTCGGTCAACACCTTTACCTTCTTGTAGTAAACACTAACATCTCTTACGAACTCTTTGAGAAACAAAACCAATTGACTTGAAGTGGAGTTTATCTCAACATTCGCAGAGATAATTGATTTGAATTTCGAGAAATTATTGAAAACCAAACCCCACTCCAAGTCGTGGGTGAGAAGACTTAAATCGATTGGACTGTCGATCCCTTTGGCAACATATTGGCGGTCGTATCGACTG